TGCTTGAATTGGAAAATTTACTGCGATGATCATCCTTCACTTTCATCTACAACCGCAGTTCATATATGAATTATTTCATATAAACTTCACATCATAGTCTTCGTTTACTTACTTCATCAACTTGCTTGTTTATGTCTCCTGCTCTAAACATTTTCCTGGCAATGTCCTTGTCATCTTCCTTCACGACTCCAGCTAGCGCCGCCATCATTATCGGCGTGTATCCAGCCTACAATTATTCATAGTGTCATCATTCACCTTACCATTATAATTCTGCCATTAAATAACGCAAGATCACAGGACAGAAAAAAATGAAATTTCTGAACTATAGGGAATGCTTTGGAAATTGATTCTTCCTTTAACTACCATCGTTTCAGGGACAGGGGAGAAAGGGCGGGGGGGGGGGGGAGCTTGTAGAGCTATAGCCCTATAGCCCTATCACTTTTTTGCTTGGGTCGATTTTTTAGAGATCCAAATGACATCGACAGTTTATGAATTTCACCACTTGAAAGTAAGAAAACGACGGAACAGAGACCCCTGACGTTTGCTTCCCACTCACAGTGCTTAGTCATGGCGTTGAAATTATTCACGTCACGTTTATACCTTTTGTGCGCATGTCTGACGTCTGATCTGACATGTTTCTAACTATAAAGCGCAACACTCATTCCGGACCAGACCACTCTCGGCCGGATTTTTAGCCCCACTACTTTAAAATGGTCAGCGAAATCTCTTCTTGCCATAGAAATTAGGGTAGACAAAAATCATAAAGGGTTGAGAATAGACCAAAAAGACCAAGACTGATTAAGACCAAGGAACATAGTCTATAGCCCACGATCTTGGACAATTTAAACTATTTTTCTTCTTTTCCTTAATACATCTATCTGGCGTCCAATTTTATGCTGCGAACGTAACTGAAAGCGCAGAGCTTACACAGGAATTATTTTACTGGATGTTCCCATACTTAAACTATGTTCCTGTTGTTCTAAAATGGTAGGAAAACAACACATATTGGTATGTAAACTGTACCTTGTTTGGCAAGTTTAAGTTCATTAGTCCTGTGTCCAGCAAAACATCGACCAGTTTCCAGTTTCTAAACGAAACTGCGTAATGCAAAGCATTGTTTCCCTGCAAGACATGACAATGACAAGATCAGCGAACTATGCAACGCTAGACCCAGAGAAGCGTTACCTAATGTAACGCAAATATACCCAAATATACAAACTGTTTTAGAAAATAGTCAAAGAAAATACACGCGCTCGTTAGCTGAAAATCGTGTTTCTGTAACTCGGTAGAAACACACAAAAGTTGCAGTAGTCACGTTCATTGGTCGTTATTTTCTTTAGGCTGTTTTCTAAAATCTGTGTAAACACTTGCCTATCGGCTCGTGTTCCCACAGCATTTCTCGTTCTGCCAGACGTCCAATCACCGCGATAAAAACACGGAAAGAGTTTTCTATTTCTTTAACAACGTTTTTCTCTGGTTAGTCCACTCTTTATTACAGTCCCCTTCTCACATGCGCCGCCTTTCAAGGACAAAAACGTATTTCAACCCTGGCCTCTCCTCTCTCTCCCCCTCCCCCCTCCACCGCCCACCCAGTCGTTATTTGGCTCGTGCTTGAGGAGGAGAGAGGAGAGTCTGCGGAGGAAAGTAGCGGAGGAAGAGGAGAGTAGCACCCCTCCCTTATTCTACTAACCCCGCCTCCTCCCTCTATCCAACCAAGAGTTTTCCTCATTTCACTTATTTGTGTAACAAATCATGACCGTGCGACTCGAAAATATCTAAAAGGCCCCGTCCTCTTTTCGACTCCACCCTTACCTCCTTTATTCATGAGACATAAAATTAAATCTAAAATCAAATAACCTCTTGTTTGCTTGATAGAGGAATTAAATTCACCTACATTGCTGTCCACAAGATTGATGATGGTTTCCAAAAGCATGTGAATTTGATTCTTGAATATTTTCAGGAGGCCTTTGACTATCTCGGGGTCACACTCTCTTGCGCTAACGCAGCGAAACCAGTTGTTTTCCACTGTACTCATGCACGAAATCTAAAACACAAAAAAAGAAAATTGTTACTTCTTATCGAAGAATTAAGAGAAAAATGAAAAGATCACGGCCTGGACTGTCCTGGGATCATACCCTCCTTCTCTACATCTCATTCTGGGGAAGGATGAAAAAATACTAAGAAAAAAAACCGCCCGATCACCGGTTACCTGGACTGCATCAAGCCAAACATATTGCCTACATAAACATATTTAAAGCTCGAGGGAATATTTTCAACACAAAAAATATGCAATGACATCCTACCATGAAGAAACGTCGTTTATTAATTTCATTAATTTTTGAAAATAAACATATTTGCCTAAATAAACATTCAGTGAGCAAACGTGCTGTATTGCTCAATGTCCTGAACGGCACTTTGACTTCAATTCTAGCTTTCTTATTAGTTCCTTCCTCGCGTCGTTTCAGCTCAACGCGCTTTGAGCTCGTTTCCGCCTCAACACGAAATAAACAGGGGCCTTCGGATTGGACCATGAATGACATCGAGTACGACTTTCAAAACCCACGAACCTCCTTCCGGAATTTAAATCCGAAAAAAAATCGTGATAACCCACCAAAACCACTTAATATCCCACATTTTTCACTTATCTCGAGTTCGTTTTGTTATATATTGCAACGAATATTACAAGTTTGACTCGACAGGAAAGGAAATTTCGATTACTGTGGCTTTATCATTCAGTTTCCTGATATTTGTTACACACTAGAACTTAAAACCTGTTGTTCACGCTATAACAAACGTAGGACACATCATTCAGTTGCCGACAGCTTAATCAGATTACTTCTGAAACGAACAAAAAAATGTAACCCCAAGAAACTAGTGGGAAAAAAAAGGCTAGGTGGTTCCTCAACAAAAATTCTAAATATCCCTAAACTTACACTTTTTTTTTATAAATATCTAGAATTTTTCAAAATATTCAGGAAGTTTCTGAAATATCTCCAAAAATAGATAAATATTTGTATCTAGGCCAAAAAAGGGTTAATAAATTATTACAATTTTTAAAAGTAATTGGAAAGTAGCAGAGAGAGTGGAATCTCGTAAGTTTTCCCGCCTGTTTTCTCGCATGCAGCTTTGCACGCGGCTACCGAGCATGCGTTATTACATGCCTGCAAACACGAAAGTAAGTATATTGAGCGATCCTTGCGTTACTTTTTGCACAGTTATTTGTTGCCCTAAGAGGCAAAACAAGAAAGAAGGAACGATCGAGAACTCAACTGCATCCATGCTTGAAGGCCGCTAATTCCAAAAGGTAAGCTTCTGTCAGCTTTCAAAATAGAAGATGAAACATTTCTTGACCTTTCCCAAGACAGATTATAGTTGATACCACAGCAAAATTGAAGATATAACTAAGCTTAATTTCTTGCAGATTGTTGTGTTATTGTAGAGTCCCTAAGCTGCTTAGACGTTATTTTTTACGAAAAATGTATGGCAGTTTCACGTTATTGCACAAGCTTGAAGCTTTAATTTACTGAATGAGTCACAAAGGACCACAAAGTGTTTTCTTTCCAAACAAGCATTTCTCCTATTTCTTTATACAGTCAGTTGGCCATTAGAGACAAACTTGAACAAAGAAAACAAAAGATCAAGATAACAATAGAGAACATTTATATTACAACAGAATTATTCACAGGTTTAGTAAAATCACTGCACTACCAATGCTATTTTGGTCAACTTGTACACCACATGATTGATGTAGACTTGAGTAGACTTACAAGTAGATTTGAGTACACAAATCAAAGTTTATGTATATATAGAGTAAATTCTGACTGCACGTTCTGACTGTAAACCCAGTCCTTAATTACCTCCGTGATTGTGGTCCTATTTAGTGGACAATGAAAAGAGGATTACACAAAGCTAGATACGATACCATTTGTTCCCTTCCAATTTCTTTTCCTTTGTAAAGATGGCCATTCAAGAGTTTGCATGCCACAACAACTTCATCAGTAATTCTGCAAAAATACATAATCTATACATCAGTCTTCAATAATTACAACAACAATTTAAACATCTTTTGGTACATGTATGTACAACAGAAAAAGAAAAATACACAAAGTACATTATTACTAATTAGTTGAAGTTATTTAATTGGGTACTAGATGCTTAAGATAACTATATAGGGCTTGACAGGTTGGGCAGCTAATTATAGGATTAATAAAAGATTAGAAGTTTTGAAGGTCACAAATACATGGGGAGAGGGGAGGGTAGGGAGAGGTTAGCAAACAGAAGGAGTTGTATTGCAAAGGGCAGAGAAGCTGATATAAAAGAAAGTATTGGACTTAGAAATATGGGAGGGGGTTAACAGATTACCATTTAAGGGAAATGTCACTCCCCTTTCCATGCATCAATTAGTAGATTAAAAAGATACCTCTTAAGAAATATATTTTAAGTTCCAATATCAGGTATTAGGAAGCATTAGCAACTTATATCAATTGATGGGTACTTAAAAACGAAAAGATGAGTGGAACTCAGTGTGGTGTCATTGTGAAATGCATGATAACAATCTATTTGATCACTATTAATGTGCTCTCAGTCTCCCACGGGATATAAACATGCTCAGTATTTTGAATATTTGAGGATATCAATATTGCTCCTCAAGTGCTTTAACTTAAGACTGATGTGAAAGAAGATAACTGATAAAAGAAATGAAAAATGTGAAGGCATGATTACTGGAAACAGTTTTGAAAAGTGTCAGTTGAAAGTGAATGTGAAAGCATGCTTCCTCAGTTGTGACAACAATGTGATCACAGTAAACCAAAACGTATAGTTACTCATTTTATTTCAATAGTTCAATGGCTGGAACTATTTCTTTTTACAAAACCGTCACCTCAGGAAAATATTATTAACCTAGATGTTACTCACAAATGACCAAATAATATTCAATTATGATAATAATAATAATGATAGGACTAATGCTTAGCTAGCACACATAAGCTCTCATCCTTTAAGTTCGGACAACATTTTAAGCCATTTTTATTTCACTGCAAAAACACAGGTGAATGGACCTCATTCAGGTAAATTGAGCTGCACACTGTTTCACAACTACAGTATCATAGAGCAACTTGAACATTGTAAAAACAAAGGAAAAAATATTTGTGATTCAAAATTTTTGATATCATTTACGTAGGAAATTATCTTATTTTGGTATTTAACAAAAAATTTCATGAATAATCGTTAATAAAAAAATTTTGCATTACAGAAAACTTCATTTTTTGTAATGTTACTTTGTAAAAAAAGAAACATTCATAGTGGCAATAATCTGTCTTATATGGGGATATACATGCACCAATTATACAGAATATATGCACATAATGCACTCTAAGTGAAAACTTGTACATACATGTACAAATCTAAGGATCCTGTGACAAAGTACTTTCCAAATTTAGAATGTTGTATATTATAGCTTTATGAAGGATCCATACCTAATGCGCTCTGGAGACTGAGCAGTATCCATGACTTCACTGGTTTGACTTGCACTGTCACTGCTGGGGTTATCATTGTCGATGCTTCCATCAGATTCATTAAGTTCACTCTCCTTGCTGTGCATATGTGCCTTTTTAATGCCATCATTAGAATAAATACTGTGTTGCTTAGACTGTGTGTGTCTAACTACGTTTTGACTGGTAATGGTCCCATGTGTTTTCAAGTTCATGTTTGAGTCAAATTTAGTATTGTTATCAACAGAAACAAGGTTAGCTTGTATAACTGGTGGGTTATCGTCGATGTTAACATCAAAGTCTCCAACACCAATGGAATGCATCTGGACATTAAAACAACGTTCACAATAGCTGTCTGTCACACAGCAGTCTCCAATGGCAACAGTCTGAGTTCTGATATTCATGCATCTGTCGCAGTAGTTATCTGTTATGCAACACTCACTGACACCAAGTGTCCTTGTTTCTATGATGTCACTGCTTGTTCCAACAGACTTTGTTTTCTTATGGGAGCATCTGTCACAAATCACATCAACTGAAACATTACCATTGCCAACACCAATAGATCTGGTGTGCAAATTGTCACATTTAGTACAGAAAGAATCCATGATACCACAACTACCGACACCAATTGTGCGTGTAGTACATGCCTCTTTTTTAAAGGTTCTATTCCTTACAGGCATCTTTCTCTCTGCACTGTTGTCCTCAGCTGCAAGATGGCTGCTAGGAACAGATGATTCCAATTCTACTGTCTCTTCTGCAGTCATAGGAGTCTCTATTTTATTTTCTGTGTTGGAGCTGCAAAGTTTACAGACAAAAATGTCCTCCTCCACTTTAAAATCACCTGTTCCAATAGATGCTGTCTGTAAATTTGAACAGTGGTCACACAACATCTTGTCATTGATTTTGTCCTCTCCAGAACCAGTGTCCTTAGTAAAACTTTGATCAACACCACAGCCCACAGTTCTTGTCTTTATGTTACTACATCGATCACAGAGGTAGTCCTCAGAAACACTGAAATCTCCGAGAGCAACATTTCTCAGCTCAATCTTTTCCCCAACACCAACTGTTCTTGTTTCAAGATTGCTGCAACGATCACAAAGATAGTTATCTTCAAGACTCATGTCACCAACGCCAACAGATTTGCAGAGTGGGATGTCAATACGATTGGCCATGATCTCATCCACAGTTTTTACTATGGCTCGAGACTTTCTGTTTGAACATCTTCTGCATGCTGGTTCATCATCAATGGTGCAAATACCCACCCCAATTGAAACCAATGAGACCCCTGAACCTCCACCTGTCTGAACTCCAATGCTAACTTTTGCTTGTGATGGCTGTACTTTTGCTTCCTCATAAAGGCTACTGTGGCCTGCGCTTTGAAGATCTGCAGTGACTCCTTTTGAGCGTAAGTCAGGCTGTGCCATAACAGCCGCATCTTTAGTAACAGCAACAGAAGGAGCATCACAGCCAGAATTCACCATTTCTGCTGAAGCTTGAGTTCCACGGTTTTCTGTGTAGATGAGTGGTTTTCCTTCCCCAACACCTACATCTCTTGTGAAAGACCTCATCATTCCAACACCAATAGATCTAGTTTGGACTTTTTGTCTCATTGGCTGTGTTGTTGGTGACACACTATTTAGTGCAGTTACAGATTCTGTTCCTACACATACAGACTTCACAGGGGTCTTTTTGGTTGTTCGAATCGTTGTGGTACAACAAGTGCAAGGATCGTTTACTGAGTAATCTCCAACGGCAACAGAATTCAACTTGACTCTGAGTCTTTTCTTGATGAGAGTATAGTCATCTTCACCATCATTTTCAGTGTCACTCTTTGATCCCTTGGAATGCCCATTGTATACTGAGTAGTCACCGGATGAAGGCCCCAGGGATCGGCTTCTCTTTCGAGAACCTTTGGATTGCAGCTGCTTAATAAGTTGCCTTTTCTCTTCTTGGAGTACAGATATGCGAACTTGCAAAGTTGGCACATTCCGCACCTGTTCCTCTAACTCTTTCAGTCGTGCAAGACTCAAAGCCATCTGTTCACGGATTTTCAAAAGTGACTGCTTCAATTCAGACTCTGGCGGTAAGCTGGCAATTGACACTTCCAAGAGGGAGGTACTTGGTCTCAAAACAGGGGAGTGCACATTGATGTATCGAGGAACACTGAAGGGTTCACTGGGAAAATCAAATGCATGGCTGGTGGTGTGGTGACCATCTCCACTACTCAGGGAGCTGAGTGGGGAAAGACTTCTAGGTGTTGAAGAGCATGGACTGCCATTAATGTCTGCCATGTTCTTGCAGCTACTGCCATCGCTGTCAGACACACTCTCCAGTTCAAGTTCATAAGCTTGGATACCATGTAGAGAGAAGGCACTTTCCTCAGGATCAGAACTTAGTGACGAAGGCCTTGATCTGTTTGGTCCACCCTTGAGATAGAATGGCTTTGACATTGCCATTAATTATAGCAACGGAAGAGAAGTTAAAGGTCTCTCTCCTTCAATACCATGAATGCCCTATAATTGGCAAAAGAAGAATTAAAATGTAAGAACATGAAACACTTGACATTGCCTTACTAAAAACAACCAAAAACAATTAGGTCACACTTGTAAATTGATGTATAAATTAAATAGTTTGCTCAATTATATTGATAAAAAGTACTGAATCAGAAGCACAATTTTTGGATTAGCTTTGCTATATACATCTGCTTATAATTACACAAGGGTTAAGGTAATATTATTTTATTAAGTATTCAATTCAATGATTCCAAGAATTAGCTCTAATATTGGGTTCCAAGTGCTTTGTACCAGCTCTGTTGTCCATTTGCATCATCACATAATGATAGTTAAAAATAATTTAAGATGGGATATATAGTCATTCTTGAAGTGAGTACTACTTTGTCTCCTGTAAAACATATTTATACTATTCAATGGGACAACAATGTACATCTACCAACTATTTACATTCCTGTGTTTTCAATGTACATTATAAAAGGCGAGCTACTGTATATATGTCCTCTGTTTTATGCATAGATGAGTGTGCAAAATAGTGAGTAGAAAGTCTTCACCTTGTTATTATTCATGAAGTAAGAGTGATCAAAATTAATTGCCTGTATTATAATATTGTATGCAGGTAACTGTACTTTATACATGTAAATAGTAACATTCTTTTCATTGTGCTCAGGCAATATGCAGAAAAAAAACAACTTAGAAAAACATTCATTATGCATGTCAAACACAGCATAAGCATAACTTTCATTCAATGACCTGCATATGACACTTGAAATTGACAAACTTTATGCTAATTACTACCTTGCTAAAGTGATCAAAGACCATACATGGTTCGAAGAAGATTTACAATGCATTAGCTATTAATAAACTGCAAGAATCTAAAGCATGAGTACTCTAAAGACTATTAAAACCATTTTTATTATTTTTTTAATGCACACGGCATTAGAAAGCCACTGCATTAATGTAGGTACGCAATTATAGCTACTGTAACATAAAGATGTTATTCATACACCAAAGAAACAGCGATATAGAAGGCAAATTCTTGCATTTCAAGCAACTGATGAAAGATATGATTAAATGGAGTTCATAAAGGGACCATTTGTTGTGATAATTATATGAAAAAACACCTACTGCACAGGAAACAAATCAGTAGATGTGAAATTACATAACGAGATAATTGTTATTTTAGATGTCTAAATACAAGATTTAGACTCTAATATGTAAAGAAAATCCGATATGAGTTTCCTGTAGGTACTTTTTTATTTGGCAAGTCTGAGAGCATTGAGGAAAAACCTTTTGTCGAGACAACCCTTTTGATTGACCCAGTACCCCTATAATTAAGATTGCTTAATGACATTTCGGAATGCCATTCGCCCCACTGCCAGAAAATCCCATTAAATCCACATGGTGCTTCGCATCTGTACATGAAATATAAGAAATGCGTAAGGCCACTAGGCAAGAAGAACAATTTGTCGGGTTCTTTGAATCAAAAGCTAAATAGAAACCCGTTGACTAGTGAACAGCTGTAAGCAATTAGCAGTGCGAGACTGCACGCTACAAAAGCGGCCAAATAGCAGCATTTATCGCCTTTGAATTTCACAGGATTAACATCAATGAGCAACAACTGCTTATGTTAATTAGTATGTCTATGGTTTAAACTCACAGTTAGCCACAATTTGCGTTATTTACGCCACCATCCTGAGCTCTAAATGTTCTGAAGTCTTCTGAGTCGATCGCAGATCACATTTGACACCGTTTGGAAAGAAATTTGAGAGCTTTGAATCAATGCAGACACGCATAGAAACAGCTGAAAGCTGGCAGAAGATATATAGTTACATTGTACTGATTATGTCATGATGTCTGATGTGCTATACTGTTCTTTCTTTATCTATAGACTGTGCTATGTATTGTGTCTGCTCACGTTCTATATCCACTCCTTACTACAGTAAACATTCTTTGACACTAACTCGGTCCACGCAGGGGTGCATAAAATTGTAAGAGGATGTAACGCAATATTTCATCTCAAAGGTGTACAGTACAACACAAGACCCTAACTAAGCTCCAAAAGACAACTGAATGAGGAAATTTGTGAATTTATTGCAGCAGAGAGCCACAGTTTCTCAAACACGCAGGCTGCACGAAATAACGTTGATGCCTTGATTGACAACATAAACAGAAAGTACAATCTCTAAAAGGCATATTAGCACGTATGTGCATATTTTCATCTTATGATTCACGCGAGGTTATCTCGATCCAACAGATCCAAATGATGTCGCTCTTGGCTCTGTACTGTAATTACGCGATGCGCAGAAACAAATTGTGCGAAATTCTTCTCAAGACGAAATTCATGTTCGACAATAAAACTGAGGAACAATTCATAAAACACTGTTGCTGTACTCCTACAGAATCTGAATATATTCACCATCCAAATACCTTGTGTGCTGGTACAAAAGATTGCGCGCACAAAGAACCTAGAGCTAAACTGTTAAAGAAAGCAATTACTCTTTTGAAATTCTGGAGATCTTTTCAAATGTCGTTCATCTTTGGCTGTAAGAGCAAGTGTCATTTGTATTATTTTCAGTCAATTGCGCCTGATAGTTTGCGCGCCCCATGCGCGTATGGGATTTTGTTTAAATCATAACATGGTGTCACTGTGGACCGCATATAGAGCTGCTAATTATCAAGCAATACTCCGATGGGAGACCAAATCATAAACTAAACATAACGTGATAAAAACGAAATCGCCAAGCTGAGAGGACATAATTCATAAAGTACGCATTATGAAAAGCATAAACAATTACAAATGTTCTTTATCATTGGACAATAGCTACCTAGAACAAGGACAAAAGGACAAACAACAAAGTACGTACCGGCTCTTCTAAGTAGTCACTTCTCCGTGATCTTGTAAATGAATGTGATGCAAATCGCAAAGATTTCTTTACTGAACAGTAAACGCAAAGAAAAATAGATCAGCTGATAACGACATAAGCGCCATTCCAATATATATAATATGTCAAGTTCGTCATATCAAGCGGGTGCTATGCTTACAGCTTCAATTTCACAGGAAATGTAATCCGAACACTTTGGCTGTGAAAACAACAACTGCTTCGAATTTAAGCCTCTACTTCCTTTTGTCTAACCTCAAAAATCCAAAAACCGATCAAGCTTGAGACCGTCTGTTGATGTCGAGATTTGCGTGATACTATGCCGCACGAAAACCCTTGATACTCGAATTAATTCAAACTTGGCCTTCGATCATGTACTTAAATGTTGCGCACTAGCGCACAGATTTGTCTGGCTTTACATGACAAAAGATCCTCGAGAATATTTTTCATAATCAAACGAAACTAGCGCCGTACAAAGGGAAATCATTATCTCACCATCGCCACGAACCATTAACTCAAATTGCAAACTACCGCCCGTAATTGACTACAGCAGTAATTGCTAGAGTAAAGATATGCTTCTGCAATATTGAACGTTTTGAAAAATATTATATATTAATCAGCGTTTATTTTCTGCCAATATACTCACCTTCTCTGGCGCCACAGGCTTGTACAGAGCTCTGATAAACAGCGAAGGCTAGAGCGAGGAAAATAATTTAATTTCAGCGTGCATTATTAACATAGCAGAGGTTCATTTGACTGCGTAACAACTATGNCCAACACCAATAGATCTGGTGTGCAAATTGTCACATTTAGTACAGAAAGAATCCATGATACCACAACTACCGACACCAATTGTGCGTGTAGTACATGCCTCTTTTTTAAAGGTTCTATTCCTTACAGGCATCTTTCTCTCTGCACTGTTGTCCTCAGCTGCAAGATGGCTGCTAGGAACAGATGATTCCAATTCTACTGTCTCTTCTGCAGTCATAGGAGTCTCTATTTTATTTTCTGTGTTGGAGCTGCAAAGTTTACAGACAAAAATGTCCTCCTCCACTTTAAAATCACCTGTTCCAATAGATGCTGTCTGTAAATTTGAACAGTGGTCACACAACATCTTGTCATTGATTTTGTCCTCTCCAGAACCAGTGTCCTTAGTAAAACTTTGATCAACACCACAGCCCACAGTTCTTGTCTTTATGTTACTACATCGATCACAGAGGTAGTCCTCAGAAACACTGAAATCTCCGAGAGCAACATTTCTCAGCTCAATCTTTTCCCCAACACCAACTGTTCTTGTTTCAAGATTGCTGCAACGATCGCAAAGATAGTTATCTTCAAGACTCATGTCACCAACGCCAACAGATTTGCAGAGTGGGATGTCAATACGATTGGCCATGATCTCATCCACAGTTTTTACTATGGCTCGAGACTTTCTGTTTGAACATCTTCTGCATGCTGGTTCATCATCAATGGTGCAAATACCCACCCCAATTGAAACCAATGAGACCCCTGAACCTCCACCTGTCTGAACTCCAATGCTAACTTTTGCTTGTGATGGCTGTACTTTTGCTTCCTCATAAAGGCTACTGTGGCCTGCGCTTTGAAGATCTGCAGTGACTCCTTTTGAGCGTAAGTCAGGCTGTGCCATAACAGCCGCATCTTTAGTAACAGCAACAGAAGGAGCATCACAGCCAGAATTCACCATTTCTGCTGAAGCTTGAGTTCCACGGTTTTCTGTGTAGATGAGTGGTTTTCCTTCCCCAACACCTACATCTCTTGTGAAAGACCTCATCATTCCAACACCAATAGATCTAGTTTGTACTTTTTGTCTCATTGGCTGTGTTGTTGGTGACACACTATTTAGTGCAGTTACAGATTCTGTTCCTACACATACAGACTTCACAGGGGTCTTTTTGGTTGTTCGAATCGTTGTGGTACAACAAGTGCAAGGATCGTTTACTGAGTAATCTCCAACGGCAACAGAATTCAACTTGACTCTGAGTCTTTTCTTGATGAGAGTATAGTCATCTTCACCATCATTTTCAGTGTCACTCTTTGATCCCTTGGAATGCCCATTGTATACTGAGTAGTCACCGGATGAAGGCCCCAGGGATCGGCTTCTCTTTCGAGAACCTTTGGATTGCAGCTGCTTAATAAGTTGCCTTTTCTCTTCTTGGAGTACAGATATGCGAACTTGCAAAGTTGGCACATTCCGCACCTGTTCCTCTAACTCTTTCAGTCGTGCAAGACTCAAAGCCATCTGTTCACGGATTTTCAAAAGTGACTGCTTCAATTCAGACTCTGGCGGTAAGCTGGCAATTGACACTTCCAAGAGGGAGGTACTTGGTCTCAAAACAGGGGAGTGCACATTGATGTATCGAGGAACACTGAAGGGTTCACTGGGAAAATCAAATGCATGGCTGGTGGTGTGGTGACCATCTCCACTACTCAGGGAGCTGAGTGGGGAAAGACTTCTAGGTGTTGAAGAGCATGGACTGCCATTAATGTCTGCCATGTTCTTGCAGCTACTGCCATCGCTGTCAGACACACTCTCCAGTTCAAGTTCATAAGCTTGGATACCATGTAGAGAGAAGGCACTTTCCTCAGGATCAGAACTTAGTGACGAAGGCCTTGATCTGTTTGGTCCACCCTTGAGATAGAATGGCTTTGACATTGCCATTAATTATAGCAACGGAAGAGAAGTTAAAGGTCTCTCTCCTTCAATACCATGAATGCCCTATAATTGGCAAAAGAAGAATTAAAATGTAAGAACATGAAACACTTGACATTGCCTTACTAAAAACAACCAAAAACAATTAGGTCACACTTGTAAATTGATGTATAAATTAAATAGTTTGCTCAATTATATTGATAAAAAGTACTGAATCAGAAGCACAATTTTTGGATTAGCTTTGCTATATACATCTGCTTATAATTACACAAGGGTTAAGGTAATATTATTTTATTAAGTATTCAATTCAATGATTCCAAGAATTAGCTCTAATATTGGGTTCCAAGTGCTTTGTACCAGCTCTGTTGTCCATTTGCATCATCACATAATGATAGTTAAAAATAATTTAAGATGGGATATATAGTCATTCTTGAAGTGAGTACTACTTTGTCTCCTGTAAAACATATTTATACTATTCAATGGGACAACAATGTACATCTACCAACTATTTACATTCCTGTGTTTTCAATGTACATTATAAAAGGCGAGCTACTGTATATATGTCCTCTGTTTTATGCATAGATGAGTGTGCAAAATAGTGAGTAGAAAGTCTTCACCTTGTTATTATTCATGAAGTAAGAGTGATCAAAATTAATTGCCTGTATTATAATATTGTATGCAGGTAACTGTACTTTATACATGTAAATAGTAACATTCTTTTCATTGTGCTCAGGCAATATGCAGAAAAAAAACAACTTAGAAAAACATTCATTATGCATGTCAAACACAGCATAAGCATAACTTTCATTCAATGACCTGCATATGACACTTGAAATTGACAAACTTTATGCTAATTACTACCTTGCTAAAGTGATCAAAGACCATACATGGTTCGAAGAAGATTTACAATGCATTAGCTATTAATAAACTGCAAGAATCTAAAGCATGAGTACTCTAAAGACTATTAAAACCATTTTTATTATTTTTTTAATGCTCACGGCATTAGAAAGCCACTGCATTAATGTAGGTACGCAATTATAGCTACTGTAACATAAAGATGTTATTCATACACCAAAGAAACAGCGATATAGAAGGCAAATTCTTGCATTTCAAGCAACTGATGAAAGATATGATTAAATGGAGTTCATAAAGGGACCATTAGTTGTGATAATTATATGAAAAAACACCTACTGCACAGGAAACAAATCAGTAGATGTGAAATTACATAACGAGATAATTGTTATTTTAGATGTCTAAATACCAGATTTAGACTCTAATATGTAAAGAAAATCCGATATGGGTTTCCTGTAGGTACTTTTTTATTTGGCAAGTCTGAGAGCATTGAGGAAAAACCTTTTGTCGAGACAACCCTTTTGATTGACCCAGTACCCCTATAATTAAGATTGCTTAATGACATTTCGGAATGCCATTCGCCCCACTGCCAGAAAATCCCATTAAATCCACATGGTGCCTCGCATCTGTACATGAAATATAAGAAATGCGTAAGGCCACTAGGCAAGAAGAACAATTTGTCGGGTTCTTTGAATCAAAAGCTAAATAGAAACCCGTTGACTAGTGAACAGCTGTAAGCAATTAGCAGTGCGAGACTGCACGCTACAAAAGCGGCCAAATAGCAGCATTTATCGCCTTTGAATTTCACAGGATTAACATCAATGAGCAACAACTGCTTATGTTAATTAGTATGTCTATGGTTTAAACTCACAGTTAGCCACAATTTGCGTTATTTACGCCACCATCCTGAGCTCTAAATGTTCTGAAGTCTTCTGAGTCGATCGCAGATCACATTTGACACCGTTTGGAAAGAAATTTGACAGCTTTGAATCAATGCAGACACGCATAGAAACAGCTGAAAGCTGGCAGAAGATATATAGTTACATTGTACTGATTATGTCATGATGTCTGATGTGCTATACTGTTCTTTCTTTATCTATAGACTGTGCTATGTATTGTGTCTGCTCACGTTCTATATCCACTCCTTACTACAGTAAACATTCTTTGACACTAACTCGGTCCACGCAGGGGTGCATAAAATTGTAAGAGGATGTAACGCAATATTTCATCTCAAAGGTGTACAGTACAACACAAGACCCTAACTAAGCTCCAAAAGACAACTGAATGAGGAAATTTGTGAATTTATTGCAGCAGAGAGCCACAGTTTCTCAAACACGCAGGCTGCACGAAATAACGTTGATGCCTTGATTGACAACATAAACAGAAAGTACAATCTCTAAAAGGCATATTAGCACGTATGTGCATATTTTCATCTTATGATTCACGCGAGGTTATCTCGATCCAACAGATCCAAATGATGTCGCTCTTGGCTCTGTACTGTAATTACGCGATGCGAAGAAACAAATTGTGCGAAATTCTTCTCAAGACGAAATTCATGTTCGACAATAAAACTGAGGAACAATTCATAAAACACTGTTGCTGTACTCCTACAGAATCTGAATATATTCACCATCCAAATACCTTGTGTGCTGGTACAAAAGATTGCGCGCACAAAGAACCTAGAGCTAAACTGTTAAAGAAAGCAATTACTCTTTTGAAATTCTGGAGATCTTTTCAAATGTCGTTCATCTTTGGCTGTAAGAGCAAGTGTCATTTGTATTATTTTCAGTCAATTGCGCCTGATAGTTTGCGCGCCCCATGCGCGTATGGGATTTTGTTTAAATCATAACATGGTGTCACTGTGGACCGCATATAGAGCTGCTAATTATCAAGCAATACTCCGATGGGAGACCAAATCATAAACTAAACACAACGTGATAAAAACGAAATCGCCAAGCTGAGAGGACATAATTCATAAAGTACGCATTATGAAAAGCATAAACAATTACAAATGTTCTTTATCATTGGACAATAGCTACCTAGAACAAGGACAAAAGGACAAACAACAAAGTACGTACCGGCTCTTCTAAGTAGTCACTTCTCCGTGATCTTGTGGATGAATGTGATGCAAATCGCAAAGATTTCTTTACTGAACAGTAAACGCAAAGAAAAATAGATCAGCTGATAACGACATAAGCGCCATTCCAATATATATAATATGTCAAGTTCGTCATATCAAGCGGGTGCTATGCTTACAGCTTCAATTTCACAGGAAATGTAATCCGAACACTTTGGCTGTGAAAACAACAACTGCTTCGAATTTAAGCCTCTACTTCCTTTTGTCTAACCTCAAAAATCCAAAAACCGATCAAGCTTGAGACCGTCTGTTGATGTCGAGATTTGCGTGATACTATGCCGCACGAAAACCCTTGATACTCGAATTAATTCAAACTTGGCCTTCGATCATGTACTTAAATGTTGCGCACTAGCGCACAGATTTGTCTGGCTTTACATGACAAAAGATCCTCGAGAATATTTTTCATAATCAAACGAAACTAGCGCCGTACAAAGGGAAATCATTATCTCACCATCGCCACGAACCATTAACTCAAATTGCAAACTACCGCCCGTAATTGACTACAGCAGTAATTGCTAGAGTAAAGATATGCTTCTGCAATATTGAACGTTTTGAAAAATATTATATATTAATCAGCGTTTATTTTCTGCCAATATACTCACCTTCTCTGGCGCCACAGGCTTGTACAGAGCTCTGATAAACAGCGAAGGCTAGAGCGAGGAAAATAATTTAATTTCAGCGTGCATTATTAACATAGCAGAGGTTCATTTGACTGCGTAACAACTATGCAAAAGAATGCTTCATAGCGCCAGCTAAGCTCCTCTAAATGGGCAATGTACACATTGAAATAAGCCTGTTGAATGAGTCAAAGATCAATTAAACATAAGCTTACCGATTTGAGATTCCTCTGTGTCCAGGTGGTCTTGATCTCTCGGCTTTGTAAAGGACAGAGTTGTTTACAAGTGCTTATGCTGAATTCTCTTCGCGCGAAGAGCAGCTTTCAAAATGAATGACCCCCGAACGGGGGTTTATTTCGGCACGGCGCGGTCGGATGCGAGTGCACCGACCCGTGAACGAGTCCGATTGGCGCTCAAAATAGCCTCCTTTTTTGGGTGGGAGAGGGGTAGGGAAGCGTAGGCGAGGTGAGGGAGGGGGTACTCCTTGCACGTGAAGAGGGATTTATGCTAGTTTTGAGCTGTTTATCCTATTTTACCAGGAAGATCTCAAGTAATATAATTATTTCACCCATTTAGCCTAACTGTAAGCCAAGTTATGAATTTGGAAAGTATGATAAAACCATGCATGATTTAACTAAAAAAATCGAGAGAAATATTCTCCGGGGGAAGCCCTATTACCGAATTTAGCTCGCTATTAGCTGTTGTCAAGAGCCACAAAATGCATGTATATTGTTTTCTTCAATTATATGATCTGACATGACTTTGCAATTGGAGCTAACTTCCTCGTTCAATGTACAACACTGTAAGTACTTGTTTCCGCATTACCTACTTGGCCACCCCTCGTGGAGCATGTGTTATCCTCGTGGTCAAAGTTTTACGCCACTACTGTTCTTTTTCGTTCCTTGCTTTTCAGCCGATGTGGTACGTAGTACCCCGAAATGAAAAGCTCCTGTCTTCTAACATTGGACGTAGATTCAATATCAGACGGGGGGAGAAGTTATGTCCCCTCCTCAACTAAGGCCCTCTTTTTCCTTCCGAGTACTTGTCAGTATTATAATCAGAAATCTTCATTAGGCTCTCTTTCCTGTGCGCTACATATAAAGACAAGACTCCCTGTGATAACTGAGCCCTAGAATCTAAAATCTTAATTTTGCATATTCAACAATTAAGAGAATGTAATTGCCTTCAGTAATTATATATAGCATTTGACTGACCAGGGCGCTTTCCGTTTGACCAAAAATACCAGCAGGAATTTCCGAAAATTTCCAAAATGTCCGAAAAACAGAACAACTACTTTGCGAGGTATACCCAATGTTCTTGCCAAAAATTTCTATTTCATTCGATTTTGCTTCCAGAAGTTTCTGGTACTATTGAATATAAGGGTGGTACTGAAGGAGAATTGGTCATATTTCAACCGTCAGTAACTGAAGATTAAAAGGACGCATTTATTTCGTTGATAGGCGAGATTCTCAAATTATACTGATCGCGACGTTCACTTTTCTTTACATATCCAAACGGGCATGTACAAAATGCGCGTCGATTTTAATACTAAGCTCGAAAAAAGACAACATGGTTTTATTTGAAAAATCCTTGTTGACTTGATTATCGCTTTTTTACTTTGTGGACGGTTGTATGGCGAAGAAAAGTACACTGAGTATATCTAAATCGATCACGATTTGTCAATACAGTATAGTTCGCCGCAGTGTTCATGGGGCCAAAATGAATCGCCAAATCCCAATTCCATTTATTAGATGTGCCTGCAGAATCATGGAAGCTGTATTCATCATCTTGGACTGGATATTCAGTGCCTGTCGCGCTAGATGTAGTTGACATACAAACAGTCACTAAATTACTTGATGAATGCAGCTACCATCGTGATTCCCTGCAGGTGCGTCTTAAAGTGGGATCGAATTGGCCATTGGAATGAAAAAGTAAAAAAGTAATTAAAAATTGTTTGTAAGAACAAAACATATGCGTAAGACTGCATCATGGAAGTTACATTCATGTGTTGCTTGAAC